CCAGCAAAAACATCCAAATCTCTTCTCGTAAGATCAATCCCCTTCTCGCCCTCATCAAGCACATAGTCATATACAGTCGCTGCACGCACACCCCGTTTCCTCCTCTCCAACACCGGCTCCGCCATCTGCGTAAACGCAGCATTAACCGCCCTCGAAGTCTCCTCGCTCTTATCCTTCCAATTCTTCCAGCGTCCTGTCCACAGCCCCTGTGGCACATGCACCAACCACGGTAGCAAATCGACCGGCGGTGTTGCACCAACCTCAAGCAACGCAACGTACTTGTCAAACCAAGACTTGTACTCCTCCAGCTGCTCCGCATGTCTCGTTCTTGTTCCGTAAACTAGACTCTTGATAGTGCTATTCGCGAACCTCAGTGTATGCTCCATGAACTCCTCGGGCTCTTTCACAAAATCACACAGCATCTGGCTAGCCTCCGCGTCCACAAGTCCGATGTACTCTTTCTCTACTTTCGCCTCGTTGAAACACTGCGCCAGTAACTTGCGGCATAACCTCAGTTTCTCGCCCGACGGCATGAAGACCACTAGAGGCATATTCGCGGGATCGCGCGCGATGTACTTTGTTGCAAAGACGAAGGGTGGGCGGCTGCTGTATGTCGTTCCCCTTTTGTCGATGAGCTCGCGGACGAGGCGCCGGGAGCTGAGGACGATGGTGGTGGTGTGGAAGAGCTTGAGGCTGTAGATGTCGCCGTATTGGGAGGCCCATTTTGTGAATTGGAATTGGGCGTTTTTTGTGGGTATGGCGAGGACGTTGCCGAGGAGGGGGAGGGGACGTGGGCCTAGATGGGTGGGTTAGCTTTGGGATAGGATGGGATAGGATGGGACCAGGGATGGAGAGGGAGGTACCGGGTGGTAGATGGGCTTCTCGACGTCCTATTATGAGGATGTAGTAGAGCCCTATGACTGAGATGGCGATGCTTATTGCAGCTAAAGTACCCATGGTTCAGATGTGGGTTAAACACGTTGTTGTCCCACCAACAAGGCAGACTGAAATGGCGTCGAACCTCGCCATATATACCCTTTGTTTCTTCACTAGACGTATGATCGCTCTCTTCTACATGCAGGCTCTGGTTACACGTCTGGCGGGGTAAGTTGCATTACCACTGTGTCGGTAGGCAATAGACACCCATGACCTGTAGTGTGAAGTCCAATCGCATGATGAGACCGTATACGGAGACATCGATCGATAAATAATGCACAACCGCCAAGGCATGCGTATGCCAACCATTGTACGCGAAACTCGTCTCCCCGAAGCGGTGATTGGCGGTCATTCGTGTAAGCAGGAGGCACAACGAAAACAGCCTGTAATGGTGAGTAAGCCACGCTTCTGCAACAACTTTCGAGAAGATGTAATCAGGAGACTTGAGATGTGGAGAGTAAGAAATTATCTGGTATTATGCTTGAACGAGAAAGGTAAAGCAGCAACCACATCGTAGACATCCATCATCACTGCGATAGCACCCTACAACAGCGCACCAGCAAACGCCGACATTACAAGCATGCCCAGCATACCCACCGCAGTCTTCGACACACCCACATGCACCGCAGCCCCCGTATCCGGCTTCCCATCCTCGCCCGTAGCATCCGGACCACTACTACCCGTGCGACTCGCACCACCACTAGGCGTGCCCGTCGCACTCGCAGTATTATTCCCCGAGCAAAGGATATCCCTCGGATTAACCCCGTTGTCCATGAAGCAAGTCCTTAGATCAGCAACCGTCTGTTCGTAACTAAGACAGTAGTATCCGCAGGAGCCGTTGAATTCCTCGACCGGTGCGTCTTTGCAGCATTGTTTGAGTGCGGAGGAGGTGTTGGACGCGACGCCCGTTGTGCTGCCTACGCCGCAGAATATGTCTTGTGTGGGGAAGACGGAGAAGTCGGCTGTGGTGCACGAGGTGCTTGTTGCGCTTGGAGAGGCGGCGGAGGATATGAGGGACATTTTGGGTGAGGTGGAGGTGAGGTTTGAAGGCTGGATTACTGGAGTGGTGGTTAGGAAGGTGATGCATGAAGGATGTTCAAGGACTTACATTGGGTACAGTCGTAGGTATTGTAGTAGTCTGACAGCGAGTACCAACGTTCTCTTGTTCACTGCAATGTACAGGTAAGTAGTCGGAGAAGTGTTAGTGATCTAGCAAACAGGGACGATTAAACGGTCAAGAAATATCCGCAGAGCCAGAGCCAGTGCCAACGGCTTAGCCGCTAAGCACGTCACACGATACTTCCAGCAAGATCCATGAGGCCATGGCTCTGCCCTGTTCTGGTTCCAAGGCCCAGCTGTTGACATGAGGCAGTGGCGCGTTGCTCGGGGCGGTGGCTCATGGCTCCACTTGGTTGCTCAGGGGACCCGCGTTCGACGGGTTATTTTTGGAGTCGTGACGGCCCTTTCGGCAGCTGCTTGCCGAGGTGTAATCACAGCGTGGGCAGTTTTCTTGCTTGGAAGAGATGTTTGTATAAGGGCCTTTGGTAAAAGTCGAGGTTGTACTTTCGCATCGTGTAGTTGGTGTTGCTTGCTGGATTTGGGGATTTGGGAGATGCCGCGCGCTTTGGCTTGATAAGGATAGCGTCGCGTATGGTTCCGAGGTCACGGCGAGAAACATGCTGCATCCATGATCGTGCTTACTGAACCAAAGTTTATGTCGACTTCATGTAAAAACTTGCTCTTGGAGTCAATTCTGATGCCTATAATATATACAACGAAGTTTAAATACCCTCTTTTACTCGAGTCCAGCCAACTCCATCTCGGTGGCAGCGTACATGAACGCACCAGCACCCTTACCATCGTTGGTCAGGGTCTCAACACCAGTGTAGTACTCGTACGACGCATCGCCCTTCAAACTTCCCACAGTAACCGTGCCGGTGAAGCTGATGGTGCCGTTCTTCTCGTACTGGATGAACTCGTCCAACATCAGATCCCACGCCTTGGACGCAGTCTGCTGGTACTTCTTCTCCAACAAACCGAGCCTGACACCCTTCATGTACGCGTAGGTGAACATGGCGGTTGCGCTCGACTCGATGTAGTTGCCTTCCCTTCCAGCAAGTTCCGGGTCCATGAGCAACCACCATCCGCCGCTGGTGTCTTGCACGTCGTTGATACCGGAGGCGAGCGTGACGAAGTAGTCGACGAGCTTAGAGTAGCCCTTGTGTGTCTTGGGGAAGACCTCTAGAACCTCAACCAGCGCAATGAAGTACCATCCTAGAGCACGGTCCCAGACGTATGGGGAGGCACCAGTCTCTGGGTCAGCCCACACAGTCGATTTGTCCTCGCTGTAGCCGTGGTACAGAAGGTTGGTTGTCTCGTTTCGGCAGTGCTCCTCAATCAAGTCGAATTGCAACTCGATGTCGTTCCAGGCTGTGATGTTGTTGGGCTCGAAGTACGATGTGTAGGTCGCGTAGAAGGTATCAGCCATGTAGATGCCGTCCAACCACATCTGGTTCTCATAAGTCGGGGCCCTGTGCCAGAAGCCGCCGGTGGGGGTGCGCGGCCATCGGTTCAGCTGCTCTCGGAGACCCTTGGCCGCAACAACGTATTTCTCGTCCTTGCGTCCTTCCGAGTTCCAGAAGTAGAGAATGTTGTTGCCATACCGAATATCGTCCAATGTGTAGAAAGTGGCGTTCCAGCCCTTGATGGTACCGTTCGAGGTGACAACAGACGAGACCGCGTCGGAGGCATACTCAAGCAGAGCAGTGTCGTTTTGCGTCACGGCGGCTTTCTGAATGCCTTCGCGAATGACGGAGGAGACGTAGTGGTTGTCGACCTTCTGGCCCTTGGACAAAAAGGAAGTTGCCATCCATGTCGAGTACGGCTGGGTGGAGTTTCTCGCCGCGACGGCGGTGGTAGCCAAAGCCAGGGTAAGAGCCGTAAGATGCATGGTTGCGAAACGGTATTATCGACAAGCTGGGAATATCGGAGACAAATCGAGGACCCTGAGGAGACAAACGGGAACACTTGCGGATACTTTATCTGACACCGTTCGCCCGTCGCTCTTTATAGCGACTGCGCGGCGTCTGTGGACATTGAACATCTTCCCCTCAAGGCTGGCACTACTGCAGTTGATGCAATCTAAATCCATGTTCATGCAGCCTCAAAGCGCCCCGGTCTCTCCACCTTGCGGTCCTGAGCGCCTGGTTGAGAATTTCCGCGAGCGGACGTTTGCCCATCATCGACGAAATTGGGAAGGTCTGGCATGGTCCCTCGCTTGGCAGCGGAGAAATTGGTGATTGGAGATGTAGTGGCGATGGGGCCAAAATAGTCAGCAACCTTAAGCTGGAGGACGAGGTGCAGGTGAGGGATCGGAATATCTCGAGTGACATGAACATCAGTGCTTGTCCAAACTCGCAGCGATGTTGGAGGAACGCTTCTTCTTTGCGGCGTGGAAGCGACTTTGATCTGGGAAGGAGCTCACCCTGAACAGGCTGAATGGTCCACGCTGGAGTGGGTCTCCCTGCACTAGCGGAGTCAAGCATCCTAAGTCCGCGGGACGTTTCTTGCGCACTTCTTGTCACTGCGCTAACAAACGCCCACTCTCTAATCTCTCGTCAAGGGTAGGAGAGGCCCAATTCTCCGGGATATCTTCGTTGTGCAGTCAAATGTGCTGATGATTACTCAAGCTTAGTCTCACAAACATACAGCCAAGCGTTTCTTCAAGTACCTCCACTGGCCATAGCGCTCTACAAATTACCGACAAGCAAGAAGGATGAAATTCGCTGTACAAAAATTTCCGACCACTTGAACGCATCGACATGAGAGCTTGTTGCGTAGAGGGGGATGGGGTGGTTCTGCACCACCCGCAGGCGGCGCGACTTGCTCCTCACACATCGAGTCTTCCGGGCCACGGTTCCCAACTCTGACCATGCATCCAGATATTTGTCTTCGACAAAATTGTGTAGGAACTGATATGTAAGATCAACGGAGTCCGTTTCGTCCCCCAATACGATGTCAGGCCTGGACCTCACGCTTCGTGTAACGACTTGCGTACTTCCAACCTATAATGTATCCTTCTTCACCACAGACCACCACCGTCCAAACCTCATGATGCCCATGTCATATCCTTTCCACCAACAATATCCCCAAGAGATCGCCCACGTGGAACCCAGAATAAGTGCTAGACCAACAAGATTGGAGTTCTTCCACGACCAAGGCTCCTGTCCCTGCCGTAGCGTTAGCTACCATCTGATACTGTAATGTCTTTAAAGTCTTACGCCTGTGCCCTTCTCGCCGCTCACAATGCCTCTTTCGATGTCGTCTGGCTGCGCAACAGCCTTGATCGAGTTGAGAGTGAGCGAGAAATCGCCTTCTTGCGTACCAAAGAAACTATCGATTGTCAATTGCCGCCATCTCGTGATCGCGTGGTGGACTGTTACCTTCTCATCATGATGCTAAACCGCTTGACGTTCTTCAAATCCAATGGCTTTGCATCGTTCTTCTCTTTCCCGCGATACGTAGGCTTCATTGCACGCCATGGCACGAACAACCCAAGCTCGCTTTGCGATTCAAAGTCGTATTCCCAGCTGATAGTTGATTGCTCCCGTCCATCTGCCATAAGCGGCAGAATCTCGTCTTTGAGCGTTAGTGTGTACTTCTTGCCGTCGTGTTTTCCTAGATCGAGATAAATGCCATCGTAGGTAGATAGATCCCAGGTGCGATCCTCGCCGGTAGTGCGCTGACTGGCAAAGCCGGCGCCGCCCAGAGCGGTGATGTCGAGATTGCCGTGGAAACGCGCGGAAGAGTCGTTGATGGTAAGGTAGGACTAGTAATCATACATTAGTTATCAAATTATTTCATTCATTTTGAGAGATGGGTTTTACCTGAGACGCTCCTCCTCTCACACGGTCATCACTGTCCGTCCAATCCGAAGCTTTCCAACCTCTGCACGCGCATGCATTAGCTTCAAAGCGACAGTGCATTACCCAAACACTTACTTATCACCACCAAAAAGAACTAGCTCTTTCTCGTTACCCATTTTTGCTGAAATGCGATAAACGTTGATTGTGTTGATGGTATCAACTCTCACAAACCCTGGAGATGTCCAAATGCAGTAGTGACCTCATCGGCAGGGGTCCGTGCGGCGTCTCACACAAGCACACTCATTCGTCTGCCGACCAAGCATCCCCATACCACTAGCCATAGCGCGTTTTCATCGCAACCCCAAGTGGTCCTACATATTATCCGAAAAACATGGATTTCCGAGATGCTTCGCGTATGAGCGATGCAGATGAGTCTATCCTAGCCGAGCCGTACCGACCGTTTTACAAGATATTTGGAGGCCAGCCCATCTTAGTTAAACAGTGCGTGCAACCTAGTCTACGTAATTCTCGTTCAAGCCCTAACGTGCGCCTCAGAAACAATGACTACGATCGAGTAGCCTTCAGAGAGAGGCCATGGATGGGTGTGCTGCTGTTCGATAACGTGTCTTCGGATGCAAGGGATCATGCTGCGAACGAACGAAGTATGTCAGGATCTGCTGAAAGTACAAGAAGATTGCGTAGCTAACAGATATCACAGCTTTCCTGTCATGGCTGAAGCTTAGTGTGTACATGGCCATCGTGTCTGTTGCCATCGTCATGTCGTTCCATCTCAAGTCGGAGCCCACTCCACTTGGTAAGTCAATAGCAAAATCTCATCGCATCATGCTTACAACTCTGTACAGAAAAACGTTTCGCGTTGCCACTGGGAATCGTCTTCTGGCTTCTTTCGATAGCGTGCATGTTGTCTGGGTTGTCGAACTACATCAACACGGTCTCCCGGTACAGCACGCGGCGGGCGCTCGTGCAGACAGGTTGGAAGACGCAGGTCGTGTTCACCGTGGTGTCAAGTGCGATCGTTGCGACGTGCATACTGTTTCTCTCTACGAATGCAGAGAAGTAATTCGTGTTTGATAGATTGTATCTTGCGGATGCTTTCAATGCAGTATGTGAAATATCATGATGAATCGTTACGCCTATGCTAGTGTTTTACTAGCATATTTGGTTGTTCCCCTACTTATTCGCCCATACACTTGGTCCCGCGCCTGCAAACACCATGCTTAATCAGCCTCGAGGATGGCCCAGGTCTGGTCGTCAACAGTGGTGTAAATCAGACCACCCGACAATAGATCATCACCAGCCTTTGCAACATCGGTTGTATCCATACCAAGTTGCGCCGCAATCTCGTGCTGGTTAAGACCCTCGTTGGACTGAGGAGTGGTCTTAAGATGGTTGAACACCCTCTTCGCCGACGCAGTGTAACCGGCAAGATCATATCCGCCGCCGTAGTTAGCGCCATCTCCCGCTTGTTGCTGTCCTCCAGCGCCATTCGTAGCGGCACCACCCTGCGCACTGCCAGGAGGCCCACGCGTGAAGTATAGATGTACCGCGGTCGCTTCAAGCAGGTGATAGGAGACTTCGTTCATGTCTTCGACTGGACGGATTACGGTCGCTCCGACTGATCTTCGGTCGTTGAAGCTCTTCAGCTTGCCCCATGCTCGGCAGTAGGCGCCTTCAACAAGTTTCGCTTTGGTAGGGTTGGTCTGCTCTGCAGCATCGGAATCGACCCACTGCTTGACCTCTACGCTGCCAGTGCCATCGTCGAGCCTATACGTTGTGTTTGTAGTCTGGTTGGATATGTTGCGTATTTGACCGACGAATGTGAGCTTAGGAAGCGGTTAGTATAGCCGTTGGACCATGGAACTCGTGCATACCTGAGTAATTGGAGTGCCGTCGATTTTGAACACGTCGTTGCTGCCGGCTTCGAGTTGAGCATCAAGTATCTGCTTGATGGTGACGGGTCGCAGGGTATCTTGGGCACGGTCTTGCCGACCTCCAGGGCTCTGTGTACTACCACCCTCTCCCGGTATGAAGCCGCCTCCGCCAGCACCACCCCCAGCGCCGTAAGAGGTGGTACTGTACGAGGTTTCGTAGCCGCCGTAATTGTCTAAAGAGGTTAGAACGAAGGGTTCAATGGTGTTAAGAAGGGGATTGCATACTCATCTCGTGGGTGTGGGTTGGGTGACGCGATGGCAGAAGTTCGGTGAGGGCAAAACGCGTCGGACGCGCCTGCCTCATCGCGGGGCACGTGGAAGCTAGCGACGAGATGCGCCATGCTCATCCCTGCCGCCAAGATTTCGAGAGGCCCGTGCCCGAAATTTTCCAACAGCCAGACTGGAGGCGCGACCTTCAGACGTCAGGTAGGCAAAGTGCATCACGTCGCCTCCGAACCCTACCAACCATCTATCAGTCATGGCTCCCCGCGCGAGCTCGCCGGCGCTCTCCGAGACCGAGTTCGACATATTCGATGCCCTCGCTGGCGGTGATGATGTTCAGCAAGAGGCGGATTTGAACGCAGATCTGGGCGTAGATCTGGACGTCGGGCACGATGACGGATCCGACGACGAAGCCTTTATCGCCGCGAAACAGGCTGCCTCGAATCGCAAAGCCTCGAATGTCGGAAAGTCAATTAAGAAAGGTGGAGGTTTCCAGGCCATGGGGCTGAACGCGGCGCTTCTCAAGGCCATCACGCAGAAGGGATTCAAGATTCCAACTCCGATCCAGCGCAAGGCCGTTCCGCTCATGCTCGATGGGCAAGATGTCGTGGGTATGGCCAGGACGGGTTCCGGAAAGACGGCCGCGTTTGTCATCCCCATGATCCAGAAACTCAAGGCGCATTCTGCCAAAGTAGGCGCTCGAGGAATCATCATGTCGCCCTCCCGAGAACTGGCACTGCAGACGTTGAAGGTCGTGAAGGAGCTGGGTCGCGGCACAGATTTGAGGACTATTCTGCTCGTTGGAGGTGACAGTCTTGAAGAGCGTACGTGTATACGGGCAGGTTAATGCTAAGAAAAACGAGACTAACATGTTCGCAGAATTCAGCTCCATGACCACCAACCCCGACATCATCATCGCTACCCCTGGTCGCTTCCTGCATCTAAAGGTCGAGATGGGCCTCGATCTGTCCTCCGTAAAGTACATCGTGTTCGACGAAGCCGATCGCCTTTTCGAGATGGGTTTCGCGGCGCAACTAGCTGAGATTCTGCATGCCCTACCCACTTCGAGACAAACACTGCTGTTCAGTGCGACACTCCCCAAATCCCTCGTAGAGTTCGCGAGAGCAGGTCTACAAGAGCCAAAGCTCATCCGTCTCGATGCTGAGAGCAAGATCTCTCCAGATCTCAAAAGTGCCTACTTCACAATCAAGTCGGGTGACCGTGATGGCGCGCTGCTTCACCTCCTTGACAATGTCATCAAGGTGCCGGTAGGCGAGACCGACGCATCAAAGAAGGCCAAGGCAGATGCAGAGAAAGCTGCCAACAGCAAGAAGCGGAAGCGCAGCGACGGATTTGTCAAGGACGTCCCGATCGCTGAGTCCACCATCATCTTCGCTGCAACAAAGCACAGAGTGGAGTATCTCGCGAACCTTCTTCGCAATGCGGGATACGCCGTGTCTTACGGTACGTAATCGTATGTTCTTATGTGATGCTCTCGCTAACTTCACAAGTGTACGGCAACCTTGACCAAACAGCGCGCAAGGAGCAGATCCAGGACTTCCGCACTGGCTTGACTCGCATTCTCGTTGTCACCGATGTGGCTGCTCGTGGTGTGGATATGCCCCATATCAACCACGTCATCAACTACGACTTTCCTTCGCAGCCCAAGATCTTCGTACACAGAGTCGGACGAACCGCTCGAGCTGGAAGGAAAGGATGGGCGTACAGTCTGTGCAGACATGTCGACCTACCCTACCTCATAGATCTACAGCTTTTCCTCGGTAAACGACTCCTAGTCGGGAGGTCACACGAAGAGCCAAACTATGCAGAAGACTTTGTCGTCGGTAGCTTGGCACCATGGCAACTGGAATCGTCTGTCGAGATTGTGAACAAACAGCTCGCCGATGACGAAGACCTAGCGCTTCTCTTAAGCGTAGCCGAAAAGGGTGAGCGCCAATATCAACGAACACGCAACCAGGCAAGTGCACAAAGTGTGGGACGAGCTAAGGAGTTGGTTGCATCTCCCAACTTTGCAGAGACGCATATGCTCTTCAGCGATGACGCGCATAGTGCTCAGAAAGCGAAGGAGGATATGCTTGCACGAATTCAATCATTCAGGCCCGCGGAGACCGTATTCGAGATCGGCAAACGAGGTACCCAGAGTGACACAGCCGAAATTATGCGCAAGAGGCGTGAACAAGTCGGACGACAAAAAGCCAAGCAAGCAGCCAACAAACGAGCCGCGGACGATATGGACCCACTTCAAGCACCTGCAAGACAGTCAAACGGTGAAGAAGCATCAGAGGATGAAGAAGACGAGGTTGAAGTCGCTGATGGCGTATACGACTCAGACTCTGATGGGCTCGAGGTGTCTGTCTCGCAACCATCCTCCAAGAAGTCAAAACAGGACAGCTGGAAGAATGATGACTTCTTCATGTCATATACTCCCAAGGAGAACATGGCAGAGGAGAAGGCCTATGGAGTGAGCGGAGGAGATGCCGGCAACACCAACTTCGTGTCAGCAGCAAGGGCAGCAGAAATGTCACTTGTGAACGATGAGATTCAGGGCTTCGCAGATGCGGCCAAGTCGAAGATGCGTTGGGACAAAAAGTCGAAGAAGTACGTAAACCGCACCAACGACGAGGATGGCTCCAAGGGAGCCAAGATGATTCGAGGAGAAAGTGGGCAAAAGATTGCAGCCAGTTTCCGCAGCGGTCGCTTCGACGACTGGCGCAAGGCGAACAAGGTCAAGATGCCTCGAGTGGGCGAAATTGAAGCCCCCAACCGGTCTGCTGGATCCTTCAATAACGCCCCGCGCTACAAGCACAAGGCCGAGAAGGCTCCGAAGCAGGCTGATCGGTACCGCGATGATTATCACGTCCAGAAGAAGAGGGTGGCTGAAGCGAAGGAGAAGCGCATCGGTGCATGGAAGGATGGAGGCGCCAAGAGCGAACTCAGAGATGTGGACGCTGTGCGCAAGAACCGCAAGGTGCAGGAAAATCGCCGAGCAAAGAATGCTCGTCCCTCCAAGAAGCGGAAGTTTTGAGTTCAACAAATGCATTGAATCAATACCCGGGCCCTATGCCCAACGACATGAATCGGCTATAAGATTTTCTTCAGGCACGTGTCAGCGAACTAATACCCGTGGGCCCTCGATTATTGTGCGCGGACCGAGGTGAAAACAATCCGATTTGACAGCTGTACGATGTGGCGACTAAAAGAAAAAGCGTTAGATTTTTAGCAATTGGCCAGATCTCGATATTTGTGCGAAGAAAGGCCGTTATGACCCGCATGGTCAGGCCATATTTGCTTCTCCAGAGCCCGCGTCCCCGTCGGTTCTGTGTAACGCTCCATGTTGGCATTGCTTTGCTGTGCCACAGAGGTGCGGATTGGCGAAAGTTTATCGGGGCCCTGCGACATGGCAGTGGGCGAACATCCTGCCATCCTCGGACAGCGCGCGTATTGACTCGATAGTGGCTTTTTGTGCGCATCGTCGTGGTCGACGAGATTGAAAAGTTTAGACACGATTTCTTTCGGTGCGACGCAGTCCCTTTTTGTATCGAGCATGTATCGGTTTGCTCCAAGGTTTATTTGCTGGCGCGGTAGCTGCCACCAGTGTGGTCGGATTGGGACTGACAAGCTGCAAGTCACGCTGTAGTCCAAACTATGCACACGTTGTCGACTAGGATAGAGTTGCCGGCGTCTATTGACGTCGGGTAGTGTTGACACTGACAGGCGACCGCGTATAAGTCCGCGTATTGGGTGAAGCGCCTCCCAATCTCACGCCATTGTGATTAAGGTCCGAAGCAGGGATAGGGGCCTCTTCGGGTACCCATGGCATATTGTGGGCAGGCACGTCATTCCTCGAGGAGATTTCTGCGAGCCGGGACGAGTGCACTGTAAGGGTGCACACCAGCCCCTGTTTAGTGCCAACGCCGCCAGACTTCAATAATCCTTCTGCACGCAGCCTTCGAGAAGCCGCCACTGTGTGTTTTTTTTTCTGCATGGTCGCACAGGAGCGCGTTTTGCCATGCGATGGTGGGATGCGTGGCGTGTTGAGGGCAGCCCTCTCTGCTACTGCACCCGTGGGCTCGGTCTCCGTACCGCGGTGCGCAGGGCACAGCATAAGAAACTTTGTTTCACGTCAACGGCTTTTTGATATTCGCAAGAGCCCAAATCGGAAGGGCCAATCTCGCTGCGAAACTCTTTGTGGGTTTCGATGAAAATCATCCGCCTGAACGAGCCATTTGCGCACCAACGGCTGCGGCGTGGCTGTCGTCGGAGAGGCGCAGTCTAGGCTATCGCCAGTCGGGTAGATGTAGGCGTAGTCACATTTCGTATCTCGGTAAACGGCTCTTGGGTATTGATAGAGCACTTTACCGGACGGAAATTTCTCGCTCCGTTGCGGGCCTGATGAGACTACCCAAGGTCGTCGAGGGGTGAGCGAATAATCCTGCAGGGCTCGCTTGCCTTGTGTCACGAGATGCTGCAGGGTGCCTTGAAGCCAGGCGTGAGCCGCATCGAAGAATGCATGTGTCAGAGAGGCTCCGAGGAGCATATCGGCGATAACACGTCTTAGTTGGACACCTGTTGGGCACTGAGACCAGCCAGGGAGCTGCCCGGCCCGCACCCAGTCGCAAATCGACAATGGGACCAGCGACGGGCAAGCATGCAAGGACCACAGGGGAAACGGAGAGGCCAGCGAGGGTCCCTGGTAGCCGACTACTTTTGGCACAACGTGTCCTGAGCACCGGTTCGTAGATCCCGCCCGCAGGCCTGTCGTGATATTCGGGTCCTGGCCAAGCGGCTGACTCGTGGCTTATCAGCTCTAGACACTGCGATGCAAACTCGAGATGCTGGCATTGTAGCACCATGACACGGCTCCATCAGTTTGCAGATGATCGCATCAGGGTTGGCATCAAACGGAGCTCAACAGAGACCTGCACCTGAATCAACGAAACGGCAGGGCCCGCCGGGAAAGGACAGTAATCCCGAGACCCTGGACAGGCCGTTATGCGCATGCCGTAGCCTCGGGGAACCGTAAAGAGAGATGAGAGCAATCTGCAGGCGATATAAGACCTGCTGTTAACGTCGAAATATCCGCTATCTGTGATTATTTTTGGACCTCAGCAATCCTCGACGAGGCTAAATGCAAGGTCTAGTCCTGGGCTTCTCGCGTTGCCTTGTCGGTTGGATTTATATTTTCCGCGCCGGGGGCCAATCACGACCCACTCGAAAAGCTGGGCGGATCCGACACTTTTGTACAGGATGGAAATTTCTCTTTTGCTCGGCCGTAGTGGCTAGTCATTGTACGATCCGGATGACCTGCCCCGACGGAGGAAGAAGAAACGCTCATGCAGGACCCGGCCTCGAGTCATGCCCCCTGCATCGTGATCTCGGTTCAGGCCGCAGAGAGCAGAGTGAACATGTGCGGACAAGGTTTACTGGCGAGCACGTTGCGTCCCTGCACTTCCCTTGTGACGGGACATGTGCAATGCCTTGTGGCTGCAGATCGCAAGTATTGAAGTCATTAGACAATTACAAATTGAGATGATGAGGGTTAGGGAGGACGAGTATACAATGCTGGTGGCAGGATGCGCTATTCCCAGCTAGTGCAGAGGTATACACACCCACCTCTGCCCTAGACGCGGCATCGATCTCCACGGCAGTCGGCTCAGCTTACCGCTATTCCGCGTTGGGGTCAAGCATCACCGGTAAATATGGCCTTCGTCCGTGGTGCAGCATCACAAGTTTGCCCTGCCGCAGTCGCCGTTCCACCTTCTACATGCGAAAGAGCGGTTGGGTAGCCGTCATGGGGCAGTCGGAACACTAACGCTGGTGCCGTTGCTCACACACCTGGCGGCAGCAGCATGGAAGGCCTCATCTTGCCAGCATCGTCGACTTGTCATGACATGCTTGGCTGGCTGCGATTACTTTGTGAGTTTCGGCCCCGCATCGTCAATGCTGCGCACACTCCAATAAGACGAGCAATATCGGTGGTCATGCCGTCGTCGCTCGGGCAGTTTACGGGCAGATCGTCAACAGCGCCAGCGTGCGATCGATATACCCACCGGAGTATTTTGCGTGTGCTATCCCAATGCGACACGGCCCACGCCTATAACGGATGCATGATATACCACTGGCTTAGTCTGACCATGGGCACTATGTGTACGCTTTGCTCCCAGCACTCGACGCCACGGCGAGGCACACCACCTCGGGCGGCTGGAACACTGGACCGCCCGGCCACGTTCTGCAGGTCGAGGGGATCGTCTCAAATGCACCGAGTCCGCTGTTTGACCTGTCCTGCACACGGCGCTGGGCATGCAGAAGAAGGTACCAAGCGTGTGCGCCACATCCCGACCTTGACATGCTCCAGAGACTGTACAGAAGACTATCCAGCAGCTACTACGGGGACCAGGTGCCACGGATGCAGCTTACCGTCGCTTGCACGTTCTGAACCAGAGCACATTGCATCTGCCAGATCCATCACCCGCGCCATACAAGCTTACAGCGCCAGCGCCATGCCACTAGACGTAGCGTGTCGCATGACGAAGCAGGACACCCCACAGCGTCGATTGTTCAAGGGGATTATGACGAGTTGCTTTTCGGGAAAAGAGCGACTGCTTCCAATGCATCGACGGGAAACTCCACACACAGGCGCGGCCCTGTCAGCCATATCCGAGTGTCGATCGTGGCATCGGATGTGTGTCCAATTTTTTGTTAGTCGCGATAGAGTTTGCGCCAGCGGAGTGCGTCATCAGCGCGCAGTGGTGCTTTTGCAGCTCGCGACAGCAAGACCCTGAGCAAGCTTTCCCCGGCAGTCCATGCAGCGCAGCCGCTACGAGGCGAGATGTTCCGCTGCGACCGTCGGTCGGTGCGAAAAGGCCTGCGAGGCGATCAATGCAAGTGGTTGGTCTGAAGGGTCCGGAAGCGCGACTGACAGTGACAAGCGTCTTGATAGTGCACCACAACCGCGGGCCTGTCAGTGGGAGCCACACCTGTCGGCCTGCTCACCTCGCGGCGGCCGGTGGCAGGGCTCGCGTGGGTGAATATAACTGCCTTGCTGTAGGGCCTCTAGCTGGCCGTCAATTCTCCTCTCGTGGGCGCCGTGGCTGCCGGACGCAGCCAAAAAGGCAATTACTGGGTCGCACATAAGCGCACGCCGAGGATTAAGGGCGCCGACTTATGCTATGCTTCAATTGAAAGTTTGCCTGGGCGGCTGCAAAACAATGGTGCATAGCGCGCAGAAGCGCGACCATATCTCGTTAGCACACCCCGGTTCGAGGACGGTGCGGAAGACAGGGGGTTGAGCGGCCTCTGACAAGGCTCCCCAACCCGCACCGCCCATGCACGCAGACAGCTGGCGGCCGTGCATATGTGATTCCGCGGGTGCATCGACCGACTGGGAAACCGGCCTAGCAGAAATGTCGAAGAACCATCAGCCGAACGAGGGAAGCATGTAGCAGTCCCCGAGACGCACCCTTCCCTGCTCCCGTTGCCCGGAACTCATCGTGGCCCCCTTCTCCTGGATGGCCCGCCTGCACGACTTGACAGGGATGTAGCAAAGATCTGTGAGTAGAATCTCCATAACCGATTGTGGTTATTACTGGGGAATGTCCGCCGAGTCGACTTCTGTTCTGGTCCACGACGAGTCGCCATCCCACTCCCTCATTGGTCCCACCCCATACAACACCACCACCTCGCCGCTTCTCTTTCTCGCCGCCCCATTGCCTGCCGCTGCCGTCGACACAAGGCCGACACAGGTCCGACACCGTCTCCATTCTGACGCCGAGTTAACCAGACACATCGCTGTTGTCGACCCCATTCGCCCACTATCAAAAGGTATTTCCATGTACTCTCTTTTGCCTCTCAGCCCGTGTCTTCCTTCAAACTCTTCATGGCCCACAATGCCGCCACCCTGTATTGAATCTTGTTTGGACATGAGCATTTATCAATTCGGCGACTGTCCAACCATAAGGGAATGCCCTGCCTCTGGTCATTGTCTTGATCTTCTCCTCGCTTGTGCACTAGCTTACCTGGGACGCCATGCAGGCCTCATCATACTGCCACACCAACATCTCCCTGCCGTGCACTCTTACTTCGCATATCCAAGGGCATCGTGCGAGACAGCCCACTTGTTCGCTCCAGCGTTACCTCTAATCATTGTGCTCTTGCTGCTTACGCGGCGTTTGAGCGCGCGGTGGTCAAACTATGCAGAGCCTGGTGCTACCTGGTCCGACCTCACTCCTTACCACGCCATTCGGGCGGCCTTCAGAACCTGAAGACGGCCTTGCCAAGTTCCGGTCGAAGTTCAGTCCTAACAGGTCTGAGCACCAGGGCTACCCGTCTCCGCCCATGTCAGAATCTCATTCCCCGTCTCGTCGAACAGCACAGCTTGAATCTGCGCGCCTCTCTTACCCTCCGCCGGGATCATCTCAGAGACAGGACAGCCTGACTCAACCGCCGACTCTGCCATCGCTGTACGATCCGCGGTCTACGTCGGGAGCGCATGCTCTTCCCTTACAGCGGCCACTTTACCCTGGAGAGCCCCAGCACAGGGGTCAAGCACTCCACTACCAACCCGGACGTGCTCACGAGCACCAATCTTACCCTCATGCCATCCCGCATAACTACGGGTATGGCTATCAAAACACCGGCCTGCCCCCCTATGCTGGAGTCCAGCACGGAGGCCCGATGGTGCAGCAGGGCGCGATGATCGCACCACCACCGTCAAGACCGACGAAGCCAGCCAGACGCACAAAAGCGCACGTTGCGTCAGCTTGTGTTAACTGCAAGAAGGCACATCTCAGCTGCGACGTCCAACGCCCATGTGGCCGTTGCGTCGCTTCTGGAAAGCAGGTTAGTCTTTGCGGCGCGAAGTCAAACTCTGGCGAGTGATCTAACGCATCAAACAGGACACATGCAAAGATGTGCAGCACAAAAAGAGAGGAAGGCCACGATTGAGAGACGACAGAGAGTTCACTAGATCAGACGACGGAAGACCACCTAGCCAGCTCATAGGAGCGCCACCTACCTCCGAACCTCACGCTCATCAAGCGCCTTACCCAGTATCTCAGCAATATCGACCCTTCGAACCTCAACGAAGTCTGGAGAGTACTGCGCATCAGAAGGAGCTCCATTCCGCTGCGTCTGCGCCCCGGGACACGCCCAACAGCGTGGGTGACTACAGCGGAGTGCAGGCACTTCCCTACGGTGTGGGACCGAATTTAGCGTACCAAAAGCTGCCTGTCGTTTACCTAAATTTGGACCTGGTGATACAAAAAGCAAACCAGGCTTTCGCGGACCTCGTATCGTTCCTCGGAGACATCAGGGGCAAGCATCTTGGCGAGCTTCTGGAAGCGCGACAGAATGAGAGCATGCAGAAGCTGCGAAACGATTTGCGCGATGAGCGCGACGAACGTGAGCCGACGTACATGGCGCCCATCACCCCGGTCGGACAAGATCCCATGCGCGCGGTGATGGAGTCGGTCCAGGATCAAGACATTGACCATGTCACCCAGGGGTACACGAATCGGCCCATGTACCTCAGCTTTCGTCTGCCGGCTAGTGGACAGTACCAGTCGCTGTCGGTCCAAATCCGGCTTGCCAGGACGTCTCTGTACTTTGTGACGCTCGTCGTGTGCTCACCACCAAGACACGCGAGACCGACTCTGTTAACGCAGCAGTTAGCGCCCTCAACATCGCGACATACCTCTCAGGCCATGTCCGCACCGACAGCAGTCTCGCAATTCACGCCGCATCAAGAGCGTCGAACTTCGACAACAAGCTCTGGACCAAACTCGCCCTTCATCAACATCTCCTCCATCCGCACGTCCCTCCCCACATTCAGTCCAAGCTCTTACAAGAGCAGCCCTTCGTACGGCTACTCTCCCACCGCAGGCCCAGAATCGGGCTACTTCCCGACCTACCAAGTCCCGCCGCAGCCCACCAGCAGCGCATACCCTTCGCCATACGCACAACCAGCGCGCCCCCCTGCCGCAACATCCGAACCTCTCCGCGAGCTCAACCGGCCTCCCCGTCTCGAAGGCCTCCACCTGCCGCCCATTCGAACAGGGCCCGCGCCGCTTGGTTCTCCGCTCCACGTCGAAACAAGCGCTGCGGAACGCGAGCGTGTGCGAACGCACGACTCACCGTCCAGTAGCGCCGAGCAGCGGAGGCCCGAGTCGCCTGACATGGGCAAGCGGCGGCGGTTGAATATACATGAGGTGCTCGACTAGACCAGACAAGTCAAGTCGTCAAAGCCAGGAGGAGGTCGATTGATTGACGTTGCAATGCGTTCCCGTTCCTGAGACGCGTCGGCCGGTGTGAGGAAGATTGGAATTGGTGCGTGCAGCGGGGTCATTGCGGTTCGCGCGAAAAGAAGGGATCATGCGTGTTTCCAACAGGCTGGCCGTGGCTCGTGGCTGGCGGTAGAAGTGCGGAGGGTACCGACAGTCGGGTTCCCTTGTCTGACTTGAAACTGAAACTCGGCGCTCTGCGAAGCGGAGGCGGGAATGGCGCATGTTGCACACGGACGGGACGACGACATGGATCTGATCTCATACGACAATTCTTTCCTCACGATATCTTACTTGTCGCTTCTTGAGTTGCATCTGCTTGCGGTAGTCGTTGTTTGCTGTCCTTGCATTTCGGGGCGTTGGTTACCCACTCGTGTTGTTTTTCTTCTGCGATGTTTTGTCGTAACAAGCCATATTTTGGGATTTTGCCCATTCGTCATCTCTTGCATATGACAGCGCGCTCATGGTCCTGCTCTTTCTATCGATATCACTGCTCTTGTCTTCGTCGCGATTAGCATTGCTTGACGTGCGTACGTTACCGTTTGGCCTTGGTTGGCTTCTGCTTCTGTTCTGGTTATACGTCGCATATCCCTCGTCGCTACGGCGATGGGTGGCTTGGAAACCTGGTTTGGTCTTGACAGCGTTGTTGTGCGTGTTGTTGTCTTCTCTCTTCGTATGCGTTGCTTTTGTGGGCGGGTCTTTGCGGTTCTTATCCAAGTACTCGTCGTACGGTGCGTTCGCGTCTTGTACCACTGTTGATCCGTGCCCTCGCGTTGGTGTTTCATCGTCAACCCGGGACTGGGTTCTGAGTCGCTTTCCCGCCTCATTTGTATAGTAAACGCGTTTACGCACGAATTGGAGGTCCTGGGTGTGAGCGGGAGTACTTGTCGTTTCCTGGTGGGCAGCGGAGTAGCGAGTGGGGGGCCAATTTGGGTCCTTGGGCAAGACATGGATTCGCGTGAAAGACCAGAAGGAGCGGAAGACAGAACAACGTCTCAGCCGCCAGAACACCACTATATCTATACCACCCACCTGTCGGATGTCTGAACCGACGACAAACACCACGGGAGATTACAAGGACAACAACAGTCACGTATGGTTCAAACTACAGTTCTATTCTTGGTCCACCTCATCACCATTCACCGCCGAGGTACCACGCTCTCTTTCGACAAGAGAGGCCCGGATACAAGTCCGGAAGTATATATGTGAACCTGTACATACCACGCATTTACGAGCGAAAGCAGTTTGGCTACAAGCTCTAAAGATAGTTATAGTTATGGGGGGAGTGGGGGTTTTTTCGGTTGGGAAAGTATTGGCTGCTAGGCCAGGTGGAGGATATACCCGCATTTGGTTTCTCGAATGTTGCAGAGGATTGGATGGACACTTGGAGATAGATAGCGCAGAATTTGCTGGGTATTATGAGGTTCTTGGTTGTATCATACAGTTTTGGAATAGGCATGAGAGAATATGAAGGATCTTTGAGTCCTTCCTTCACCCATTCTCCCCTGTCCAAAGTACCCGATCAGAGTGCAATGTGAAATGAGGTTGTCCAGAGCATGTAGATCTACGGCCCGTGGCGCTTGTAGTGCTATAAGCCTCGATATGTGAAACAGCTACTGTAGTTTGGCGAAACCTTAATGCTGGCGACGAACACGCTGTTCGCGCATTCCAACCTACCAGGCGAGGCGGAACGCGAGATAGGGTGACAGCCGAGATGAGGATTTTGGGGGCGAGACTCATTCAATATGACGTGCAGAGACTGAGGTGAATAGTGCAAGGTGTTTATTGTGTATGCAGTGGTAAGAACAAATGGGTATCTTGGTTATGAAAGTATGGATCAAGGGTGCCGGCTGCTGACCTTTGAGATAACCGGGCGCAGGCGACAGAGCGCTAGATCCCGGGCATCTGTGATGGCTACCGCCTCTGGGACAGCGAATCTTGTATGCGGGATACAGAGGAGACACTGGAGGTGCTCATCCCAGAGCCTTGACCTTCTTCTTCTTCTTCTTTGTACCATCCGCGGCCTCTGGTTTCTTTCCCTGTGCAAACTCCCTCCAGCTGTTGATGCGCGTGTCCCTGGTCTTCTCCCAAGCTTCATCTTGCTCCCTCTTCCGCTTGCGCTCCTTGATCTCCTCGTCTTCCTTCCTCTGTGCACGTCCCTCTTCTCTCATGGCAGCCTTCTGTTGCCTCTGCTTCCTCATCTCGTTGTCTCGAATGACCCAGATGACCTTCTGTCTCCACTCCTTCGCAAACTCCTCGCCACGCGTCTCCTCGTCGTCGGCTGTGAGCTTCTTCTCTCGCATGAGCAGCATGCGCGCATCGGCAATGTTCTCGTCTAGCTCGGCGCGCAGCTTCTCGTCGAGGAGGACGGTCTGGGCTTTCTTGAGGCGGTCGAAGGCATCGGGGGCGAGCTCGTTCTTGGTCTTGTCGGGATGGATGAGGAGGGACTTGGCGCGGTAGACTTTCTTGATGTCGGATTCGGGGACACCGGGTTGCAGGCCGAGGACGGCGTAGGCGTCGAGACTGAAGACGCTGCGGATGCCTGGATTTGTTAGTCTAAGTCGCTACATATCAAGAAATGAGCATAGATCTCAACTTACGGTCTATCTCAGCGTCCTTGTCAAGCTCCTTACCCAGACCTGCGAGCTGGGCATCGATATCATCGTCCGCCATGGTGGATTGTAGACGCGTTGCTTGGAGTTGAGTGTAGATGATGTAGTGTGAAGTCGATTGGAGGTCGGGAAATGAATAAGCCGGATTCTGCACGTCGCACTAAGCCCTGTCCAGTGGTGTTGAGGAGTGAAAGTGAAAATAGTAGCTCGCGATGCGATGGCGCGTGAATGCGTGAATCCCCGCGGCGATGCGCACGGACCCACCGAGGCCGAAAGTTCTCCACCAAAAAGTTCTCTCGCGATGCGCCAGTTGACATCAACACCGAAGCAAGCCGAAGACTCGATATCGCGCCGCCATGGTCGCATCTGGCATCACTGGTCGCACGCGGCCTTTCAAGCCCAAGAAGAGGGAGAATCTCCAGAAGAGGAAGCGCGACGATGTGGACGTGGAGAAGCTGGAGCAGGCCGTCCAGCAGCTGGTACGAACGCGCCGATATACAAAAGACATGGAGCGCAATAAGCTGACTGCATATATAGGACCCCAAACATGGCAACTACAAAGACTTCACCGACCTCCCGCTTTCCGACCCGACCAAGCAAGGCCTCAAGTCGTCGCATTTCGCCGTCATGACCGACGTTCAAGCCAAAGCCATACCCCTAGCTCTACAGGGACATGACATTCTCGGTGCTGCGAAGACGGGCAGCGGAAAGACACTCTCTTTCATCATTCCCGTCCTAGAGAATCTGTACCGCCTGCAACACATTGGCCCCGACGCCGGCTTGGGCGCCTTGATCCTATCCCCAACTCGAGAACTCGCCATCCAGATATTCGACGTCCTGCGCAAGATCGGACGACATGGACACATGTTTGCGGCAGGTCTGCTTATTGGAGGAAAGAGCTTACAGGATGAGAGGGAGGCTCTGACCAAGATGAACATAGTCGTCGCAACACCCGGTCGCATGTTGCAGCACTTGTCGCAAACAGCAGCCTTCAGTGTGGACGACCTGAAGATGTTGGTGCTCGACGAAGCGGATCGAATCCTTGACATGGGCTTCCAGCGCGACGTGGACGCAATCGTCGAATATCTTCCCAAGGAAAGACAGACGCTGCTCTTCTCGGCTACCCAATCAAAGAAGGTGTCCGACCTTGCGCGCTTGAGCCTCCAAGACCCGGAATACGTATCCGTACACGCCGAAGACAAGAGCGCAACTCCAAAGGGCCTTACGCAAAACTACATAGTCTGCCCCATCGAAGAGAAGCTGGACACCCTCTGGAGTTTTATACAGGCGAGCAAGAAGTCAAAGATTCTTTGCTTCTTCTCATCTGCAAAGACCGTTCGATTCGTCTATGAGTCTTTCCGTCATATGCAGCCTGGTATACCTCTGCTCCACATCCACGGTCGTCAAAAGCAGGGAGCTCGACTTGACACAACAGCAAAGTTCTCCGCGGCGAAACATTCCTGCCTCTTTGCTACAGACGTCGCAGCCCGAGGACTGGATTTCCCAGCAGTCGACTTTGTAATCCAGGTCGACTGCCCCGACGATGTCGATACCTACATCCACCGCGTCGGTCGAACAGCACGATACAACCGGGAGGGACGGGGAGTGCTATTCTTGGCACCGAGTGAAGAGGAGGGTATGCTGAAGCGTCTAGAGGCCAAGAGGGTACCCGTTGAAATGATCAACGTGCGCCAGAAGAAGCGTCAGTCAATCAAGGACCAGCTACAGAACATGTGCTTCCAGGATCCAGCTCTGAAGTATCTCGGCCAAAAGGCCTTCATGACGCACGTCAAGTCGATATATCTACAGAAAGACAAGGAAGTCTTCAAGCTCAAAGAGTACAATCTGGAAGCATACGCCTCTAGCTTAGGTCTGCCAGGAGCGCCAAAGATCAAGTTCTTGAAGGACGACAACAGCAGACAGAAGAAGCAGGCATCGAGACAAATGATCGAGGTTTCGGACTCTTCGGATGCTGAAGAGACGGCCAAGGCAGACAAACCCGTGCGAACCAAGTACGATCGCATGTTCGAGCGCAAGAACCAGGATGTTTTGGGAGAACATTATCGGAAACTGGTCAGGGATGGAGATGACGAGGGCCCAGCGGACGAATTCAGTGGTGCTGGAGCGATTAACAACGCGGCCGACGACGACTTCATGGCCGTCAAACGACGAATTTCAGCGGACGACGATGCTGGCGATATTGACGCTGAGAAGGCTCCCGAAGTTCCGCCCGGTGGTCGCCTTGTTCACATTGCTGGTGCATCCCAACCCATCGTTGTCGACAGCAACCGCCGCGAAAAACTACTCCAATCCAAGAAGAAGCTCACC